GCTGGCGCTGCCGCTGCTGCTGGGGCTGCCCGCGGCCGGGCGCGCCGGCTCCAAGGCACCCGCCTGCCAGGAGATCACGGTGCCCATGTGCAGGGGCATCGGCTACAACCTCACCTACATGCCCAACCAGTTCAACCACGACACGCAGGACGAGGCCGGCCTCGAGGTGCACCAGTTCTGGCCGCTCGTGGAGATCCAGTGCTCGCCGGACCTGCGCTTCTTCCTGTGCTCCATGTACACGCCGATCTGCCTGCCCGACTACGCGAAGCCGCTGCCGCCGTGCCGCTCGGTGTGYGAGCGCGCCAAGGCGGGCTGCTCGCCCATCATGCAGCAGTACGGCTTCGCCTGGCCCGAGCGCATGAGCTGCGACCGCCTGCCYGTGCTGGGCGACTCCGACGTGCTCTGCATGGGCTACAACCGCAGCGAGGCCACGACRGCGGCGCCGCGCGCCGGGCAGCCCACGCGCCCCGCCAGGGACGCRGGCAGGAGCCTCACGCTGGCCGGCGGGCAGCGCCCGTCGGGGCCCGACTGTGGCCGCTGCCGCTGCAAGGCRCCCCTGGTGCCCATCGCCAAGGAGTCGCACCCGCTGTTCAACCGCGTGCGCACGGGGCAGGTGCCCAACTGCGCCATGCCCTGCTACCAGCCCTACTTCACGCAGGACGAGAAGACCTTCGCCACCTTCTGGATCGGCCTCTGGTCCATCCTCTGCTTCCTCTCCACCTCCACAACCGTGGCCACCTTCCTCATCGACATGGAGCGCTTCAAGTACCCCGAGCGCCCCATCATCTTCCTCTCCGCCTGCTACCTCTTCGTGTCCGTGGGCTACATCGTGCGCCTCGTGGCCGGACATGCCAGCGTGGCCTGCAACCCCGAGCACCACCACGTGCACTATGAGACCACGGGCCCCGCGCTCTGCACCGTGGTCTTCCTCCTGCTCTACTTCTTYGGCATGGCCAGCTCCATCTGGTGGGTCATCCTGTCCCTCACGTGGTTCCTGGCGGCCGGCATGAAGTGGGGCAACGAGGCCATCGCCGGCTACGCGCAGTACTTCCACCTGGCCGCCTGGCTCATCCCCAGTGCCAAGTCCATTGCCGTGCTGGCCCTCAGCTCTGTGGATGGTGACCCGGTGGCCGGCGTTTGCTACGTGGGCAACCAGAGCCTGGAGAACCTGCGGGGCTTYGTGCTGGCGCCGCTCGTGGTCTATCTCTTCACGGGGAGCCTCTTCCTGCTCGCCGGCTTCGTCTCCCTGTTCCGCATCCGCAGCGTGATCAAGCAGGGCGGCACCAAGACGGACAAGCTGGAGAAGCTGATGATCCGCATCGGCATCTTCACGGTGCTCTACACCGTGCCGGCCACCATCGTCATCGCCTGCTACATCTACGAGCAGCACAACCGGGAGGCGTGGGAGCGGGCGCAGAACTGCTCCTGCCCGGGGGACACGCAGCGCCCCAAGCCCGACTACGCCGTCTTCATGCTCAAGTACTTCATGTGCCTCGTGGTGGGCATCACGTCGGGCGTGTGGATCTGGTCGGGCAAGACGCTGGAGTCGTGGCGGCGCTTCACGGCGCGCTGCTGCCGGGCCAGGAAGGCGGCGGGCGCCTCCGTGTGTGGCGAGGCCAGCCCCGCGCTGCCCGCCAGGGCCGCGCTGCCCAGCCTGGCCCCCTACCACAAGCAGGTCCCCTTGTCCCACGTGTGACGGGAGGGAGCCGCGTGAGCCCCGCCGCGTGAGGGACGCGGCGGGAACGGGAAGGGGCTCCCGGGAGCGGGAGCCGAGCGCGGGGCGCCGCAGCCCGCGCGGGAGCTGGTGGCGCCGCGCGGGGACCGGCCCGCGGAGCCGCCCGCGCTGCGGGAGCGGGAGCGGGAGCGGGGCCGGCCGGGCGCCGCGGGGCCGTGTGCGGGGCGGCGGGACCGGCCGGGCGGCCCGGCCTTGCCTTGCCTTGCGTTGCGTTGCGTTGCGGGGGCTGTGTGCGTGTGGAGGGGGCAGCCGGGCTGCTCCGGCGCCCTTCCCGAGCCTCGGGAGGGGACTCGGCGCCGGCGGCTGGAACCCGGCGGCCCTCGGCCCCTGTTGGAGGCACCGCGTTGATTTCCTCCCCCGCCCAAGGGGTGCGGGGCGCCCTTAGCCCCTGCTCGGGAGCGGCACCGTGACCCGCTTGCGGCCGCTGCCTTCAGGCGCAGCGCGGGGCGAGGGGGGTCCCAGCGGGGGGTCTCCGCGCGCCCTGGCACCCGCTGGCCGTGCGGGACGTGGGGGCTCCGGCGGGGCGGCTGGGGGCGCCCGGCCCGCAGCGGCGCCTTGTCCGGCGGGACCGGGGCGCTGCGCGGCGCTGCGGGCGGCCCCGCGGGTCCCCGCGCTGCCCATAGGTGCCTATAGCCCCTGGGGGTCCCCGCGCTGCCCATAGGTGCCTATAGCCCCTGGGGGTCCCCGCGCTGCCCATAGGTGCCTGTAGCCCCTGCGGTGCCTGTGTCCCGCACTGTGCGCGGGTGAGCGCGGCCCCGGGCAGGCTCGGGCCGGGCAGCGCGGCCGGTGCCGGGGGCGTCTCCGGTGCGAATCCAGGGCATTAAACACCCCCAGGCTGCGCCTCGCCGGGCGCCTCCTTCTAYAGTCATATAGTGCCTTGTGTAGATACAGCCCGACACTGGTCATGCAATGCAACAAGCATGACCACGTCAAAGCGTTTTTTTCTTTTTTTTTTCTTTTTTTTTTGTTTTGCCTTTTTTTTTGTTTGTTAAAGTGTAAATAACTGTGTAAAGCTTTTATTTTATTATTATTATTTTTTTAGTCCGAGATGAACTGTAGCACGAAGAGCTGCGTTCCGCTCTGATCGCTGGTGGGTACCTGAGCCTGGCTGCGCGGCACCCAAGTGTCGGGCGGCGGGTGCCGGGGCTGCGGTTTGTCCGGTGCCCGCCGCACCGGGCCCAAATCACACGTCATTCCTTTGCCTCTYGGTTCCTGCTGTTCAACGTTGTTTAAATAACTGTATTATATTTTGTGAAAAGCTGAAGAAATTCTATCCAAAGTATAGAGACTAGTTATTTATGAGGAAGAAAAAAAAAAAGAAAGAAGGAAAAAAAAMATGTGTGGTGTTTCCTTTGCTCCCGCTTGCACGCGGTGGATGCCGGCAATAAAGGGGGCGCGGGGGGCCGGGGCCGCGTCCCCGGCAGCCCAAGGTCGCGCCCCGCYGCAGCCGGGATTAACCGACAACTTTTATTGCGGTTGGCAGCAGYGGCTCCCCGCCCTGCGCCGGGCCCGCCTCGGCGGCGCTGCCCTTTGGAACGCGTCGCGCGGCGCAGGTGACAGTCCCGGGCCGGGCGCGACGCGGCTGCGCTCGGGTTTAAGCGGCTGCCCGCTGCGCGCAAGGGTTAAGGCCGGCGCGGCGGTGACTAATGGCGCAGGCCCGCGCTATCGCGCCGGGTGTGTGGGCGCAGCGCGGCTCCCGCCGACAGCCCCGCTCACCTGAGCGCGGCGATAAGGGCGCCGCGGCTGCGGCCCCGCGCGCGCCTCCTGCGCCGGGCAGCGCCGGCACCGCGCGCAGGCTGCTGCTGCGCAGGGACGCGCGCGGCCTGTCCCGCACCGCTGCCCCCCTTGCCATAGGGAAGGTGCCTGCGGGGCCGCCCTGCCCGCACCCCGTGTCCCGGCCGGGCCACCCTACCCATGTCCCAGCAGCCCTGCCTGGGAGCACTGGTCYTGCGTCCCCTGCGGCCTCTCCCACCCGCTCCGCCTGCCCCGGAGGCCCGGCTGCTTCCCAGGAGAGCCCTGCTTGACACTTATTCCGCAGGTGAAGTGCCTGTCCTGGCAGCCAAGCCCCCTTGGAAGTGGCTCTCACACGACAACCCCTTAGGAACAGAACACGGAGGCTGGTCCCTCAGGGATCCTGCYGGCTGCATCGCCCACCCGCACTGCCGAGCCTGGCCCTGCTGCTCCGGCTTGCGCATCACGCCGGGAGCTGCTCCCTCCTTTCCAAGCTCCTGGGCCTCCAGGAGGCCTCCACGGCAGGCAGGTCACCTCCTTAAGGACTGGCTGGCCTTGCAAAGAGACTCTCAGCAAGGAGCTAGTGGGGTCAAACGGTAAGTRGGAGCAGCAGAGCACGGACCCGCAGTGTCTGCAGCCCCCCAGGGCCCCTGTTTGCTGAGTGAGAGCAYACACCTCACCCTCTACTTTATTTAAAATAGAGTTTATTAGCTTTTCTTTTAATACAAACATGAGAAAGGAAAAACCACCTGAAGATGTAGCATTGTTTTCAGAATTGAATAGTGATCAGTACCCGCAGCGCCCCGTTCGGTGGGTGTGAGCGCCAGGGCCGGGCCTGTGCCTGCCAGAAAATACTCGATGCCTCRTCGGAGCAGCTGAGCGCGGCCGCACCGACCAACACCCCCGGGCACCTCCCTGCCAAGGCAGCGGGACTGCTGCTCCGCAAACGCCTCCGGACCCTGGCGGGAAGGGCACCAAAACGGTGCCAGTTTGAGCGAGACCTGCTCCTAGGACACACAGCCTGGAAGCTGCTTGGAGCCCAGAGGGGAAGATCTTCCAAAGATGTGGAACAGGAAGAGTTTAATAATACTTATCCTGTTCAGAGCTCAGTTTCAGAGCCTTGAAAGTGCGCTCCGTTCCAAAGCCTCAGAAAGAGCAAAACCCAAAGCCTCAAGAGGAGTAGCTGCACAAGGCAAAACTTCACTTCAAAAAAAAAAAAAAATCTGTGTTTTATGGAAATATTGTTGATAATTAAACACAATTGAACACAATTGATTTCTCCATCTACCCTGGTAGGTAGTTCAGCATTCTCAAACTCACTGCTGTCTCGTTATGAACGTAAATCCCTCCCAGGAAATACAAATCCCAAAGCAGTGGGATGGATGCACAACACCATGAGCTGTAGGAACTCCACTGTACATAGCACAAGCTCTGCGGGAGCACTCGAGAAGCGGTGCTGCACACACGCCGCTCACCACGGCACTGCCACACTGGCTGCATGGGGATGATGCTTCCAGACCAACTTTCTCATTCAACGTCTCAGAAACAAAAATAAACAGATTGCAACTCTTCCAGAGCAAGAGTAAGTATCAGAAAATGAGAGAAGCACCATAATTCACAAGAAATGCAGCATGGACCCTATATATTTTAACAATACGTAAAACCATTTCTCTGCTCGCAGTCAAAACATCCAAAGTTTTTTTGACAATCTCTAGGGGAGTTAAGTTGTTGGTGCAGAGATAGGATTCCTTCCTGCTAGGCAGCTTCTTGGTTATGAAGAGATCACCAATAATAGCAGCTTTTAGTAGCCAAACCAGGGAAAAGCCGTCAACACTTGTCTATGCTACAGTTTTTCAGCTCCAGAGTGGCTTTATAATTTGTTAAGAGTCCCATGTTTTGTTTTTGTTAACCCTGCACTGACCTGAAGGACAAATGCAGCGAAGTTCTGGCTGACAGGGGAGAGGAGGGAAGAACATTGTAACTAGAGTCACGTTGTTAGTGTTTCAATTCTAAAATTTAAAACTACTCATTAAAAACCTCAGGAGTTCACAGCTATAGGCCTACATAGTAAGCAAACATCTGTGGGGGAGAGACTGAGAAAAGTTTGTTTTTGCACCTCTGGATACATTTAAAGGAGGAGAGTTTGATTTGACAAAGGTCTCATTTTTTGCACTGAGAATCTCCTTAAACTCTGGGCTCCSTTGGCTGGTTTTACCCTGCTCTCCTCCTCTCGCTGGAAGACACCATCACTGCTGGCTCGTGTGCATGGAGTGGTGGATTCCTCCGGGGCGTAGGGATGCTGGTTCATGGTGCTGCACCTTTCTCTCTCCTCAGGAGAGGATGGCATTAGAACGGCGGATACCAACTAAATTATCAGCACTGAAAGATCGTCTCATAGCAGCTTTTGACAAGTCTTTGTATTTATCTTCACACAGCCGGGAGATAGCCTGGAAATCGGGTGCAATACAAGACGAAAAACACGCACGTTAGAAGGGGCTGAGCATTTGGAGGAGCTCTTGAGTGCAGCGGCCAGTAGGTGAGGCCATCACGGCCCAAGCTCTGCCAGGCCTCCCTCTTGCCCTCACAGGGCACAACTCAGTATTTAGCTGCTGCTCCAGTTCCACTCGTTCAGCTGTGCAAGCAGCATTTCCTCTGTGCAGCTATTCCAGTTTCCAGCCTCATTATTTAAATCCTAAGGACACGCCAGAAAATACGCCCTGCTCTCAYCTGCAAGGTCTGTTCCTCACGGGAGCCTCCACGCACTATCAGTGCAAATAAATAAGGACACCAGCAACAGGAGGCTGCACCAAACTGCAGTTCAGGCCATTTACTTCCATTAATAATTTACCATCCGCCACCAGCTGAACTTTCGGAGTCCTGCAATCAGCTCCAGCCTCCACCTTCCCTTTAAGGCAGCACCCGTTGAGCACAGCCCAGTGTGCAGCAGGTTCAAAAGGTGAACGGCGCTCCGAGCCTGAATAAACTCCTGAGTGTGCTTTAAAATAATTATTTACATTTATTCCTGCCGCCCCCGGGGAGGTGATTTGGCGCTCGGGAGCCCCCGGCTGCAGCAGCTCCCGCTGCAAGAGCAGGACAGACTCTCCAGCCTGTTTTAATGCTGCTGCATCAATCACAGAGCAACCTGCGCTGACATATTTAGCCCCTGCCGCCCATATGGTGTAAATCAGTCTCCAGTCCCTGGAATACTAATCCACTCTCGCACACAGGCTCCTATCGACTGCTCCTGTGCTTCTGAACCCAAAGGCAGACTTTAAAAAAAAAAAAATGAAGTAAATGGGCTCAGTATTTAGCACGTGTTTTAGAATTAAACCCCAAATGCCCTACATACACATATTAGTAAGTACGTTACGGCAAATCACACTGCACTGAAAATTACTTTTTTTTTTTCCCCCCAATATCAGCCCCCCATCTGCTAGCACAGGCGAAACAAAACAGGCTCACATTCTGTAAATCATCCACTTATGCCTGGGCACCGAACAGTTCAGTAAACAACTTCCTGTGCAATATGAACTGCCCTACAACCACATTTACAACTAGTGACAGTGTTAGCTTAAAGTGCGAGCAGCGGGGGTGAGAGAAAGCAGAAGAGCTGTCCTGCTTGGCTTKAGAGAGAGGAATTCCTGGGCATGTCATACCTAGCGTGCCGGCAGGCCAGGAGGGAATACGTGTGTTCCAGAAGCTCAAGCACCCCTGGGACAAAACAGAAAGCCTGGCCCTGGGCAGGACACCGGGCAGACAGGAGGAAGGAAGTAAGGAAGGAGCCTGCAGCCCCCGTGCTGGAAGGGGCCGGGGTGCCAGGGTACCCCCAGCAGCATTAATGCCTTTGGGGAAAGGGCAGCAAAACCCCATGCATGGTCATCAGTTAAACCTGGACGGATGAACGGCTGCATTGATCCCACAGGAAGCTTTGCCTGGGAATCTCGGTAATGTAGGTATGCTCAAAATGCCTTGCACATCCCCAGCAAGGAGCAGGAGAGAGTGATGCTGCAAAAGTTAAGGCTGCTTTAAGTGAGCTTTCGTACCCAAGCGCTGTGGGCCAGGTAACTTCTCCATCTCCCCAAAAGAGGCCAGTGATAACTTACATTTCTGCTCCCCTGGGCATTCCAAGTATTGCTTAGAATCCGAAGCTAAACTTAAAGCAACATTTCCTTGGAAAGCTAATGCTGTACAAGCTGTGAAATGAAACCTACTGTTATCTCTGCAGCTGTCCCCACGCAAATGGTTTCCTAAAGCACGAGGTGATTAAACCATGAGCACAGTCAGGGCTCTCGCTCCGTCCAAAGGCAGCTGTGCAGGGGGATGCAGTGGGAAAACCTCAGCTGGGAGTACTTARAAAGGCCCGAGTGTGACTGTCTCTAGGTGCTTGGCATACAGACTGCGACCAGGGGACAGACAATCCATTACACATGACACTAATCTTTTCACTCTTAAGGAGCCTGTCTGAACTATGAATCCCGAAATAACACCCATTTTATTTAGTGAGCTGCTACACAGACTTCCCTAATCTCTCTTCTGCCCTTTCCTCAGCGTATTAGCTTAGTGTATGAGACATGGTTTTAAAGTGCTAACGGCAGTTATAAAAAGGTTAAATTAGCCTGTAATACACTAATCTAAAAGCTTTTTAGCTTTTCTAGCCCCCGCTTGATATGATTAGCAACAGATGCTCTTCCTGCACATCACACAGAGCCCCCGGCTCCCCATTCCCAGACCATTACCTCCAGTTTCTGTGCTCTCTCTTTACTAAGTGGCTCCAGCAGAAAGCTCAGGTTATTGTCATCTGCTAGGGAGCGAAGATCGAAGTAGTATTTGGCGTAAACACTGGCAGGAACATTGATATTAAACTGCAGCAGCTCCAGGAAGTGTCTCTCCATCTCGTTCCTAGGAGAGGAAGGCAAAGAGAAAAACACTTTCAGCTGGTTGCAGGCACCGTGCACCCCTCCAGTTGGCTTTGGGAAGGAGCATCCCGGCGCGGGGCAGCACCCGGGGCCGCGGCGGCTCCCTCGGCGAGTTCCATTAGTGCAGCGGCGCGGCCCCACGCTATAGTGCTCAGATGAAAGGAGTGATGCCTGCTGTTTATTAGCTCTGAAGAACTCGCAGACATTTTCGGCGGGCTGATAACAGGAAGGGGTTTATTGAAGTAGCGGGGGCCGAACAAAAGCAGTAGGCAGATCACCACGGCAACAAATGGATCTATGAAGAGCCTCCGCTAATAGCACGCGGAAAAAAGCCTCTCCAAGCAACACGGATTCATCTCCGATAAATAAATAAATAAGCAGCATTAGGTGGGAGAAGGAATTTTCTCCTCAATAGCAGCAGGCAGGATAATRAAGTGCAGTGTCAAAGGGCACTGTCCAGTTTTTCCTCGCTCGGCTGTTTTCAGAAGGCAAGATATTTGGGGGGAAGTGGGAAGAGCCTTGGGACACGAACAAAGCTGCTCCGGTGACCGCACGGACAGTGGAGAAGGGCTGCAGCTGCACAAAAGGGTTTCCCCCCCACACAAATTAACCTGAAAGAACCTGCTGGTACCCAAATGCAGCAACTCTGTTCACCACTAACCCAACACTCAGCTTTCTACCCGTAACACACCTGCACATATAGAATTCAGCAGCGATTTAAGCCAAGTGTGAGCACACCAGAACACAAGCTGCACAGGTTCAGTGCCGAGGCTGCTGTTGCTCTGGGGGAGCTTCAAAAATGACTATTTTCCCTATCAGGGGGGAGAACCGAACCAAGGACYCGTCCAGGTTGTGTCCTGCACTGGCTGGCGGGTCCAGCTATGAATAGGTGCTTTGTGCTTGTTGCTAGCGTGATGCACTTGAGTACCATTGAACCTAGTGCCAAAATTAATTTCCTGTTCATATGGTCATAAGCCTATAGAAATGTAAATCAGATAATGTTTTGATGATCAGCTGATCAGAGCTTGATTTACTCTATGAATAAATGCTCTTCACTGCCCCTTTTGTACCGACTACACTAATACATTTTAATTGTGTAAAAACACAATTCTTCATTGGATTAACAAGTCTATTAATAGCGGTTTAAAACCTGGGCAAGCATAATGCCCATGTGTTTCCTATGCCTTATTTACAAACACATGTAGCCAAAAGAACGAGCAGCGTGTGTCCCCTTACATGCAGTCATAGTAAGATTAGCAGCTGCACCGTTAATTTGCCAGTGATTGTGGATTCGCTCTCATCAAAGGATCAAAGCCAGCAAGTTTTGATAAAGGATGACTTCCAAATATCCATTTATTTTTTTCCCCTAACTAGGAATAAGTTTAGAAAAAGGTTTCCAGATAGAACTTGGCTTTGCTTGAAGGCCTTGAAGTGGGAGCACAAATGATGACCACTTCACCTGAGAGGAAAGGCCCCAGGGAACTTAGCCAAGCAGCGACCACAAGAGGTGCTTCACATCCCCTCTCACACGGCAGGGCCGGGAGGGCAGCGTGCAGGGCGCTGCCTTTGGGTGGGGAGCCTGGCCGCCCTCCACGGCCTGTGTAAACACACACTAAGACCAATGCAAACCCTTCTGCCCGTTTTTGAGGTGTGTGACTGCCATGCCTGCCTTGCAGCAGCTCAACARGGCATGCAGCAGGTGAGTGAAATCATTCGAGATACGTGGAGGCAAAGGGCAAAGCCCAAGGCAAAGTGCTGGCACCCGGCCCCGCTGGCACCCAGTGCTCGGAGCTTTGCCAAGAGCTGCAGTTGGGGAGCTCCTGCTTTGGGTTTTTTCCCCCTCTGGGCAGCAGGACCAGCTATCTCCAGCATTGTAACCCCACTAGATCTGAAGTCCTTTGCTGACCGTTTCCTCTCAGCAATACTTGTATTCACAATAGCTAATGCTCATCACCAAGTGACGAGTTCAAAATATCAGAGCTATTCGAACTGGCAATTACCTATAGCACGAATTATTAATTAAAAGTAGTATTACAAACTGGATTTGCAGTTTTGCCGAGTGTCTTTTTAAAGCAATTTTCTAAGGTCCCAATACCAGTTGGTCCCAATACCAAGCCCAGCTCAGGAGCGGTGTGGGGTCTGGGCTGGACGCTCCTGAGCCCCCAAAGGCAGCGTTGCACAGCCTGCCCACTCCTACATCCAAAGCTCTAAATTGTATCTAATGAGATCAGACTTGAAAAATACCATCTTCAAATTGGGGGAAAAATAAGCCTAAATTTCAGCCTCTCTTTCCTACCACTACCAATGCTTTGAAAATGTAAGTCCTGACAATTTCAAGACACCCAGCACTGGCAATAGAGAATAAACATCCCTCTTGTTACAGATATTTTCAGTGCCATCAATTTGATTTTTCCCAAATAGGGCTACAAGAAGAGACATCAAAAAGAGCAAGATGTGCACTCCAGCACTCCTAGCATTGCTGACCCCACTTCAGCCAYCTCAGAGTTATTTGCAGTAACGCTTCAAGTATGTTCCTCAGATAGACAAGCACTTGGAGCCAGGTTCAGTGAAGATGCACATTGTATAAAATCACTAATTATACCTTCCTGAAAGCCTGGCTGCCAGAGCCCTGCTTTTGGAGACAAAGCACTCCTAGGAAGGAAATATCTATAAAACAAGATGCTATGTTTGCTCTTACTGTTCACCGTGTAAAAATACCTGGAATAATAAGTGGTTTTGATGTAGATAACTCTCCATTTCTAGATCTCCCCTCTACATTAAAAATTAAAATGAAGGAAAAATGGAAATTCCTCCTACTAACGAGTCAAATATATATTTACTAAACTAGATTTTAAGCATAAGCTTAGGCTGCATCTAGGGAAGGGAGCTTATAGCAGGAAGAGACAATCTCGCATAAGCAGTTCATCAGTACCAAGTGCAAACCTCCTTCACCTCAGCCTGCTCCTGTACTAACATTGTCTTTTACTACAAGGCCTGCACAGAAACCAATTACAGCTTGATGGGGTGATAAGACTGAAAAAATGCACAAAACATGTCATAAAGTTTATCAAGGCCAGAAGGCAGGACACTCAGCCAGCCCTCTAGTATCTATAGCACTGCGATAATGGGGGCAATACAGAAACAAGCTGGCTAATAGAATTAAAACAACAATGTCGAAATCTCAAGGCTTGCCRAGCTAGGACTTTGTGAGCTGGAGTTTGGCCGAAAATATAATAGGTCAAATCCACTCCCATAAACACTCTTCCAGCCTGCAGCAGCTACAAGGACAAATACCCTCCGAAACTGCAGAGCTTGCAGCTGCGGACATGAAGAAAACAGAGCAGATTTGAGACTTTTTTGAAGACTTGTTTGAGGCAGGAATATGCAACAGAAACAGCTTTTCACACAAGCAGCAGTCATAAGATTGTGAGCACTGTTGCCAGTGATGGAGGTAAGTCTAGARAGCTCGTCCAGAGAGGATGAGCTGCAGCAATAGCTGATGTGCCCATGGGCAACCACTGATGCAGCTGTCACACATGTATTTTGTGGCACTAGAGGCCAGATAATTTTTCAGTACGGCATGAAGAAAACTGCCWCTCTGAGAAAATATTGCAGATTAACCAAACCTTGCGACTTACATGTCCTCAACAGTTATGTCCTTCAGTATTTGGCAGTAATCCACATTCCACACAGCCTGATCATCCCAGACTTTAGAGGCCAGCAGAATAGCGCCCAGGACTATCCTCTTCCAGTTACTAGGGCAGATGTCAATCTCTGCATAGGTTAAAAGCCTTTCYAAGTAAACCTACAAAAAGAACAGAGAGAAAAAAAGAAGTTTGGACCTGCAACTGWGTCCTGAGCAGCAACATGCTACTCCAATATGACTATTTTATCTCAAATAATGGACCACGTACTAAATAACACTTTCAATTTTAAATACAGATTACTTTTATTGTTTCATTCCATAGACTAGTTACTGCCCAGGTCCTAATGGACCATTAGGTAGTACGGAGGGCACAGGAGGCTGCTGCCAGGCCCAAGGGCAGGCTCTCCCCGCACTTTCTTCCCATCCTTTGCTTGAAGCCACCAAGGGGACTCAACGCATTCCTATAATAACAGAGCCATCTAGTGGTACAATCCACATGGAAACCAACTCGTATTTCCGTATAATTTTGTGAATACTTAACTGATAAGCTTGCCTGAACATATGTATCATCTTGCTCTGTTCAAACTGCTTGCACAGTTTTGGAAAAGAAAAAAAATAAAAACTCCAGCTTTAATAGCTTCTTATTTTTATTTATTTATTTTAATAAGTATGTGGCCTTTTAAACTACTTATTTCTTTATTATTAAAAAAGTGTCCTTGAAGATGAATCTGCTTAGTGGCCACATTGTCTTGTGCACCTTTTGCAGGCAGTTTATTTCTCCTTTCAGGCTGCTTTTCAGACAGAAGCCACATGAAGACTCAAGTCTAGTGTACAGCAAAGTGTACAGTTTAATAGACCTTCTACTACAGTGTTTTTATTTACACATACACATGTATATAAATAAAAAATAAAATAATCAGTATCATACTCATTGTTTTAAATTATCTCACTTTTTGAAATCAAAAACTAAACTTGAATGAGATTATTTTCTCTTCTTGTTTTTAAGTTCCAAGGACCTCCAGAAACTGGAGAAAAAAACATCCAAGATTTAAACTGCTCAGTGAAAACTAGGTTTGAAAGAAAGGTGGCAGTAGTTGAAGGATGTGATAGTGAGACAGTTCCTATGAGTCCTATAGAATTAATCTTTAGGGGTCTGTTCCTTGCCCTGTTCTCGTATAAACTCTGAGCTTCTCCCACTTTCCTCAGCACAGCAGAAAGAAAAAGTGTTTGTGTTGCTGCTTGTGGTATATCCCACTGTCCTGCTCTTCTCAGGCTACTTCAGGGCATTATTTATTATGAAACAAATGGGCGACTGGCAAGGTGATTGGGTGTCATACASTCATCAAAGAGAAAAGATGAGGTCCTTTAAGCTAACCACTTCTGTAACTACTCTTTTCCAGTGAACTCCTTTGTACATTTTATTCATTATTAACAAGGTTTCATTAGATGATGCAATTCTTTCAATGTCAGTTCATCCCAACTTTGCAGCAAAACAAACACACAAACCACACAGCTTCCAAAAGCTTAGGTTTCAGTAAGCAGGCCTCTCTTACCAGTGTCACTATTGCACATTCGGCCGTCAGCTGGGCAGCACTGAAAAGCGTCCGTACAAACCGGTAGATGTGCTTGTGATCGGGGTCGTGCTTGTAGTAGTCATCCGGAACTTCTTCCCGCTGAAACAAAGTCCTTGGAATTACTGAGGAGCTGTTTCACTTACTACTAACTTTTAAGAACAGCCACTCGCTGACTGGACATGTAAACAGCCTTTAATATCATAGAGTGAAATACTGTACTGAACAAGCTTTGTATTATTGCCCTGCAACATCACAAACGTTCCACATTAAAAACAATAGTTTTAGCTGATACCACCTCTGTTCTCAAAACCTTTTTAATCTGCAAGGCTAATGGGAAGAGCACTAACTACCAGCACTACTACTGGCATCCACTGTTGTTCCATGGAGCTTTTTACAGATTTTAAAGAGAAAAAAAAAAAGAGAAAAAAAGAAAAGGGGGTTCTCCCTGCAAGCAAGTTAGTCATTTACACACAAAGGAAGCACTGGCTTTTCAAAAAGCAAAATGAAGAGACTTCACCAAATTCCCCTTCAACTGAAAAAAAAAGAGCTCAGGGCACATTCTACTAATTCCAGTACAGATGATGACATACTGTCTGCACAGGACTCATTCTTGAGAAAATCCAGAAAGACAGAGAAGCCAATGGACAGCTATACTCTATCTTTGACATTATCTGTAACTGYTTCTAAAGAGAAGGGGAAAATATTACTAAACAGAGACTAAGAGCAAWCCTAATGTGAATGTTCAAAAGTTGTGACTCTGTCCCCAAGATATCTGCTACTCAGCCCTCTGCTTAGAGGCATGGAGGTGCAGAAACGCAAACCTGTATGCTGGAAGCTTGAGGCACAAAAGCTCAATTTGTGATCTTGCACCTGCAACCTGCCCAGGCTCCTGCCCCTTCTGCACTTAGGGAYGACTGAGCCTGGACTGTTGTCCGACTTTGGACTTCCTTGTGACTGAATCCTTAAGGGATAAAGTGTCCGGAGAGTTTTCCGGATGACTTTATTTTTTAAAATAGAGTTGTTGGTACTAGGTCCAAAACTTATTGCTATTGAAATGAGCAAGCAGTTTGTATTTTTCCCTCAGAAGTCTGACAGCCAGCCATTACTACGCTTCTGTGCGTACATGGTACTAAGATAGAACAAACTGTCAGGCCACAATGATTTTCCTCTACGCACGCTCATTAAATAGAAAGTGGGTTACAAGAAAGGATCAAAAGATATCAGATGGACAAACAAAAAAATTGTCAGGATAAACTGAATTTCATCATACATAGAGAATGTTAAATAAGAAACAAATGATTTAGGCAGACAAAAACAGTTTTAGAGCAGCTATTTTCCTTAAAGTGCCACTGCCAGAATGCAAGAAACCTTCTGCATAGCTCTTCTTCTGAAGTTCATTATTTTTGCTATGTAAGGAGCCGTATTTATTGAAGTGTACAATGGCTAGCACACTGTTTAGGGGTGATACTCAAACTTTAACATTTAACACTGCTTATTAACACGCTAATGCTGTGAGATAAATTCAGCCATGCTCGGCCAGGTAATTTCCAGAGCAATCTGAATTTTTAAAGCTACTAAAGCATTACTAAAATAATTAGAGAGAGAACAAAATGAGGCACTCTGTAGGAAAGCCATGAATCTACTACTTCTCAAAAGAGATGGAAAGCACACACCCTTGGCTACTCCGCACTGTGGGGTTTTGTAGGTGTCCCCTGTCACTTCAGAATCACATACTGAATGACCCTGCCTGGGAGGATCAGCAGCATTAAGATTATTTGCTTTCAAATTTTGCCTTTCCGTTTTTTCAAAGAAACAGAACCTCTACTTCCTGCTTTGTGTGATGCTTCATGCACTATGTAGACCTGTTTGCAATCACTTAAAAGGTTAGGCACGTATGTACTGACCACATCTTCCCAAGTAAGCAGGAAAGCCTTTGATTGCTGTAGTGCTAAAGAGGGGAAAAATGAATAAAACAAAACAAAAGTTCCAATATGCAATATGGAAGCATCACCACTTGACTTGAATTCAGATATTGTATTAATACAAACATATATTGCAATATTTGAAGCACTGGGTTGTATTCACGAGCCAGCTGATACCAGAACTRCAGAGGACAGCCTGCACTATACATAAGACACCTCTTAAGATCAATCTGCTTGTGACTTGGCATTAAGACATTTTCAGGACTTTCAGAACGTAAAACAAGATTAAAAATGTTCACRCACATATAGAATCAAAAAAGTTACACTTACTGTGAGGGGATGGGATTTTTCATCAAAAATATCCAATGATCTGTCTGAATCTCTACAAAGCAAAAACCTCTGTTTTAACAGCAAGACTTAACTGGTAATGGTATGTTCCCCTAGTAAATATTACTCATTAAAGAGCACAAGAGGACATATTTTATAATTTAAGTACTCACAGAACATGATATTGCATTTTTACATGGTACCTCATAATGAGATCTCTAATTGAATATTTAACAACTTAACAATGGACTCTCGTGTTCTCACTAGCAAGTTTAATTACATTTCAAATACAGAAGCCACAGTTCATAGTATATGTAGTACAGTTCTCCCTTAAAACAAAAAAATAGTGAATACTGTAAGATGATTTCAAAAGGTAGCTGTAATTTTAAAGTTTATMCTATAATTAGCAATAATGTTAAGGTTACTTGCACAGGAAATATTTTGCACAGGTAGGTTCATTCACCTACCACAATATTCTCTACCATTGCATTCAGTAAAAGCTAAACAAAGCCCAAAGGCTGCTGTGTAGAGAGTTACATATATTTTTCCTCACTTCCCCTGTTCTGGCTTTTCATGCTTGATTTTTGATGAAGCACATGGCAGAGGATGGTTAATATTGCTGACCTTGCCATAACAGCTCAAGAAAGGGTATAAAGAGAAMGCAGCTACATCATAAAGTTGACAATTTTTTCAACTCCTTCAAGCTACAATAGCTGTGTCTTAAGTTATACTAGCAGTTACGTAAGTGACCAAGGGCATTTTCCCTGGCTCAAAAAGAAAGTTCATTTATTTTGAAAAAGAATCACTCACCTGTTCTTTATGTGGTAGAATATTGCTAATGTAACACTGAAAAAGAGAGAGAAGAAGAAAAAAAGACTTAAAAGAGCATATTCTGTGCACATCATTTTGATGCATAAGCTGCTACTTGGGACAAAATGGTCAGAATCCATTAGGTTTCCCCTCAGACCCTCAAACACTTGGTGTTTTGGTTCAATGTTTACCTGCCTGAACAGCAACTGGCTAAAAGAGATGCTGAAACYACATGTGGTGGCCAAACTGCTTCCATGTTCTGTGTTTGCATATTTATGTCATTTWAAAAAAAAAAGTTATATAGTAGATTTTAAGCACACAATTATTCATTACACAATTAGGTAACACTTTGAAAACTTGGACTGTGCCTGGCTAAAGCACGATAACTGTTTACCCAGTGTCATATAGACTGCTGTATGGCTCATGCTTTACTTTTGTACCTCTGCCTGTCAAATTATAGGGTCTGCCTAAAAGAAAAAACATAAGGAAGGCCAGTATAATTCAAGAAGGGAAGAAGAGTAGGTCTCAGTCTCTGCTGAGGCAAACAGGGCAATAGATTTCATACTGACACTCTTCCATGGCCAAAATTTCAGATACTTGACTGGCAGTGGCAGCAGGAATATTGCATGACAGGAATCCATCCCAGGAAAGTCTGATCTGTTACAAGCTGTACACCACTTTAAAGCAGCAAAAGCACCATTTTTAAGACTTTTTTTTTTCCCCGTGGAGCAGGGGTGACATGCTAGATGCCTGTTTGAAACCAAATATGAAAGTCAYGGATCTACCTAGCCTTTTTCAAACTGTACTGAAGCACTGCAGCAGGAGCACAGCCCGGGCCTGAAAGCAGAGTGCTTTCCTTTCCTTCAAGCCCAGTAAACTTGCTTCTTAAATCTCAGCTGGGATCTGCACAGAGTCATCTCTGTGGTATCCAAACTGATAGCTCAAATGGCCAATTCCACTGGAGAGCCAAAAAGACTGAAGAATTACCAAGCTCCATACCTAAAATAAGAAATAYATGAAAGAAAAAGTAGAAAGGCTGGAAATTACACCACACCCAGCAACATACAGATATCTACAACTAGAGGGCAGGCTAATACCACTGGCCAAGTAGCAAATGCAGTCTTAGAAACTTTTCCTACATGCAAAAATGGAACTATCCACGGAAACTAYCCATCAAGTTTTCCCTGATGGACAGTTTCAGGAGCCAACAGCAGGATTATAAGGACACTTGGAGAGCTCTTCCAGGAGCACAGGAGCTGACAACGCTAAACTCCTCTACCCCAGCACACAGCCTGCTGTGCAGCAAACAAGACCACCACAAAGTCATGAGCAGACCATGCAGAGGGACTTAGAATCCTTCTCGAGGACAAATGGTTCTTACCACTTGATTGTGCTTCTAAGATTAGGCTGGCTGACCGTGCTGTCATCTATAAATATTGTTGAGCATGAGCTATATTTTTTCGTAAGCTGCCCGGGAGAAACCTTAGTGGGGAAAAAAAAAAAAAAGAAGAAAAAAAGAAATAAATTCACAAGGATTGATTCTGTAAGACTTGTTTTACTGAATGGAATCCTGGGTTTACACCTTGAATGCAGATAGCTACTACTGAACAGGTCTTTGGATTAGTAGTTTTCAGTAGAAACAGCTACAAGGAAAGCGACAATCCTATTTTTTTCCCCCAGTTTTCCTCTACTCCATTCTTGCCAGATCTGGTCTTAGTCCTTCTATTTGTACTTTCCGAGATCTCCTGATGTCCCCACAACCTTCCTTCTTTTGCACTATTACCTACATGTTTATATTTTCTGCTTATTTAAACACCCTTCCCTGTAAAGACAGCTTTTTTGCTTGGTTGTTTAAAAAAAAAAATCCTGACATGGATCTCTCCGTTTATGTCTTGTTTAGCACCTGGAATCAGGAAATGAAGGATTATCAGGATCAATACTTCTGCTATTTAGAACTAACAATACACTCCATCATCTGTCCTCACACTGCAGCTTCTATGCTTTAAGAAATGTTCTTATCTTACTACAACACCAARTCAGGCTTCCCTCAGCATTTTTGGAGAATGCCTGGAACTAGAGCTAGAACATCATCACTGAGGGAAGAGTTTTGATCAAGCAGTTTGAGATCCATTAGTTTTTGCCATCATCTATTTAAATGCCATCTCTAAAGACTTGAAAGATTTCCATACGGAAACTTTGCTATCCTTCACCACTAATGGATGCCTGGCAACATTTCCTGTTCCAGCTGAACTGACAGTAAAAACAATTTCATCAGTCATTGGTGCTGGCAGACTAAAGCTGAAATTGTAATTAAATAACAGCAAGAACTACAAGAAAGTCCCACAAACTTAATAAAATGTAATGGGCTTGAAATATCATTACGTTATAAGCAGCTTATTGGTGAACACTTCTGCAATATCTTTTACATTTTGTGTTAAATTCAATTTATAGTCTCACTAGTCAATAGCTTTGGGGATTTGTTTTTTTCCCTCCCCTCTTATTAGTGATCCTGCATCTCTCATATTCTCCAAAATGTCTGTCTGTCAAGGAAAACAACTAATATAATTAGAAGCTTAGAGCAGATTTTAAAACTAATGGGTTACCATTTCGTTCACCATGCTGCTGATACTGCTTGTTCAGCACTTTTCATGCTGGATACATCTCTTACAATAAACCCTGTAATGATGCTCAAAACCCAAGTCATTCAAGGCTTGTCATCTCAGCTAAGAAATGATCCTAGTTTTGTTTTAAGTACCAGCATAGRTAGTTTGATTTAGATTTTTCTCCATTGCTGTTTTGAAGCAACGTACTGTTTTCAAAACTGATATTACTGAAAATCCTTTACTATGCTATGGACATCAGTTGTTGCATGCCCTGTGATACCCTGTCTAGATATTCAAAATTTTTTAAAATTTTAAAACARGCAAAGACAATTCAGTTCTATCTTGCTAAGAAGAATCTCTAACCCACGTAGGCCTGCATGCCTACAACTACTACAGCTCTTTTTGAATTTGTCTCTGTCCCAGTATGCTAATATTCATTAAGCTAGTACCCCACTTTAAGAAATTGCTTTACTTACATGGTTGATGTGATTACTCTTCCTCTTCTCTCGCACTACAATAAGGGAGAAAGAATGTAGAGTTAGAAGCTGCTAAAACAAAACCCCAATTTACACTCAGTTAAAAAGTCATCCTATTACTCTAATTTTAAGTACATGAGCATTATGCATTACACATTTCAAATTTCACTATCAAATTTCTTTATCTGGAAGAGTAAAGTTTGAGAAAAAACACTCAGTTTTATCAAGCTAGTAGACTATATAAACTACTAGAGAATTTAATGATATTAATCCTACTAGTTCTATTAAAGGTTTACTAAAGAAGATGCAGTAAAATAGAAGAAAATGTGACTTTGTCTCACTTGTCCATAAAAATGGTGTGCAAAAATCTATTCAGCCAACTAATAAAAACTTCAGAGAATAGTTTTATAGTTATTAACTCACCTAGCAGGCCACTTTTCCACATGTCTATGAGTGCAGATGACCTTAGTCCATTACATTAGAGGAATATGGAATCATGTTTAAAAGCGATAGMACCCCCAGCAGGAGGTTTATCCTGCTCTAAACTTACTTGGGACAGTTTAAAGGCTGTAAAACCTGTTCGGGAATGACATCAACTTGCTAATTACAACGTAAGCAGCGCTTGGTGCTGCTTCAGAGGTGTCTGAACAGGTCAAACTCTGCTCAAGAAGTGACCTTGGAGCCTTTGAGGAAAGAGGTCCACGTTTCCTTGCTGCGATCTTTTCTTGATGATGCTAGTGCTCGTTTCTGCTGCTCGGAGATCATCCGAGCACTGTGACACTGAGATAACTATCCATTTTACTGCTTGCCACGGGAGTGTGAACAGCAGCGCGGGAACCGACGGACTTGTCAAAATGATTCTACTGTCCTGGGGCAAAGCTGTGCCGAGGCAACAGGCACACTGGAGCTTTCCAAAACCACGCCAAACAAGAAGCAACTCTAAAGGAACAAAATCTTTTTTCTTTCTTTATTTTAAGAGTATCTTAACATCCTTTTTATCTGCAATATCCAAGTTAACTATGAAATACATAGATAGCCAGATTTTTTAAAATAATTATGTATTATGTAAATATCTCCATTTTTAAGAAAGCATTTTGGTATGCATAAGCTACAGTAATTGTTCAAAATTTACTGTGTGAAGTAAACAAGCAATCTACAAAGAATCAAAAATCATGCTAAATCTATGTAATTACCCATGCAATTACAGAACAGAATCAAGAGTGATTATGCTAGTGAAACTTCTCAAATGGATTAAAACAACAGATTCAAAAGCAAGCAATATAGATTGATGACTTTGGCTTAATATTCCTTACAGAAGAATGTGCACTTCAAAGCCATTTTAAAAAGCTTTTGGTCATAAAAACCAAATGTTTAAAGCTTGACTTCAGACTCTAAGGATCTAAAATCTGAAAACTCTTAGTATTTATTTAATGTCCTTAGAGAAACAAGTGATTTTAAGTGTTAAGTAAAAGCCTATAAACACACTTCTGTTTAAACATGCAAATTATGAATCCCTATGCTTTGAAAGAATTAAGCAATTTAACTGTTCAAGATGTACAATTAAAACAGGCGGTTATTTTTTTCCAGTTTTCCTCCCCACTTGTATTTTAATTGGAAAAAGCAAGCTTACCATCTGTTTGAGACTTGCTCAGGAAAATTGTGCTTGCTCTGGGATGATCAGATGGATTTGATTCCAAGGCTAAATCTGAAACAGAAAATACAAAAAGGAGAGACCATCAACAGACAAGGATGATGATACTGAAAGAATCCCAGTGATGAGGGCATGAGCAGAGACACTTAAATGGGTGGCTTGTCTAAAGAAAAAACTCTTTTACCAAATAAAATTTGGTAAACAAAACTTTGAAATAAAATTAGAAGTAAATATTTGAATTTTTCCTCTCTGAGAAAAATCCTGTGGATGTATTTCTACTGCCGTACAGTTCTCAGTTTACAGTTCCCATCAAGGCAAAAACCTGGAAAGGGAGGTCTCAAACTCATACACATCTTCAGAAGTCAATAGAGGCCCTGGGCTGTTGGGTAGCTGGACGTGGAGCCTGTGCTCAGCAGAGGGCAGCAAATTAGAACTTTTTCAAGAGCTTAAGCCCTTCCACTCTATGCTTAAGACATCTAACCGGACAAGAAGATTTGCTAATCAGAAACATCCAAGTGATAAACATCAAAATGCTTGAAATTCTGAAAAAAAGAAGGAATAAGTTAAGATCTGTAAAACCCTATGTGCTTAATGTATAATTACTTAAGTACAACCTGAATGCTTTGACCCCTTGCCACACTGAACCAGTGACAGCATCAGATGAGGACAGATGACTCACGTAGCTTAAGCTGGGGCTAAAAGGCCTGCCTGCACGGATGCAACTGCAAACAGACGGGGCTGCGAGCTAGCATTAGCTCTGTGAGAAGCAAGAGCTGCAGAGGGCAGCACACAATAGGCATCAACTTGTGTGAGTGTATGAAGAGAATCATCTTTCTGCTACTATGCTCCTGAACAGCCTGGAAGGAACAAATTCTCACCCGTTTCCATTTGGGGTTATGAACCTCACGTGTGCTCTTCAGCCCCTGCTAATGCACATGTGTTATAGTGCTGCAAGGCAGGATGCCAGCACAGTTTTCACACCCTGACACCAACCTGAGCTACAAAGTCATTTAAGAAATGCCATCAACTTTGTAGGAAAATATCCCAGGAGATTTTTTTATGCAATTCACCAACAGGATCCTGGGGAAACAGCCAAAATATGCACAAATTAGAGTCTTGACTGCCTGAATGTTTTGTGCTAGTGCATGCAAGAGAGCGTGGCCGCGGCCCTGAGGAAAGAGGAGTGCAGAAGCACGTGCATCCCTCAGCTCTCATGCCCGATTCCCACTGGAATACCGCACTGCTGTCTGCACCTGGCTGCCTTCCAAATATTTGTCTTGCAACATCACTGATCTTCGTCCAGCACGATTGTTCTGACTCGAGTCCAGGACACAATAAAAGTGTCAGACCACTCCGATTCTCAATCTCGACTGTAACGGTAACCAAGGTCTGCTTAGGAACATGAAGATTACTCATCCAGCAATTTCCTCCCTCAAAGAACATCACAGTCAACTAACAAAACAGGCTCTCTTGAGCAGTTTCTACAAGGTAACTTACAAAAAYAGTGTTTCTATTTCCACCTTAGCAAGCTCATTCATGGCACACAATGAGCAGATACGTTAATTTAATCGTGTAGTTAAAATGCAAGCTTACAGGCCTTGATATGGAATTTGCCTTTACAGCTTGTACTGGAAGCASCACCAATACACACTTGATATCTGGAGAAAAGAAAAAAATCTGTCATACAATGATATGCTATATTGGTGCATTTGCACTATCAAAAGACAGCAGAGGAGCTATTTGAAACTTGTCCACACTTTGGGCAACAGTTTGCAACTCTGATTAGACAAAAATCACTTTTAAGAGACAGTGGAAACAAGCTTGAATTTGTAATGCTGCTACTCTTACCAAAATGACTTTAACACTGACCAAAGAATACACCAATAATGGCAAATTCTAAATAACCTGGATTTCAGAAAGGTGGAAATATTCTGCTGGTCTACCAGATGTCTGAAGTATCATCAACAGACAGAAGAGTACTACAATATACAGAAATACGGAGGATTATTAGCAAGTTACAGATGTTAGGCAAACATTGAGAGAACAACACAACATTTATTTATAATTTAAAAGCAAATTTTAGAATCAGATGACTCAGATTGGAAAGGTGGGACTTTGAGCAGTCCCACCTCCTGCTCAAAGCAGGGTCAGGAACGAGCTGGAACCAGGTTGCTCAGGGCTTTACTTACATGGGTCTTAAAAACCTCCAAGGATTTGGAGACTGAACAGCCTCTACGTACAACTTGTTCTAATGCCCAACTGGCCTCATGGAGAAAAATATTTTTTTCCTCATCTCCATCTGGAAGCTCTCACTTCAATTTATGTTGGGTTATGTGATAAAAGGCTTTACCTCCCCAGACAGGAAGGATCATTGGGGAAGACCTTGTCTTCCTTGYTTCCTTTCTGGAAGAGAGGGGTGTAAGACACACCACATTAAGATGCATCATGGAGCACAATCAAATCCATCCTCTTGCACCCAAGTAGGCTCTCATGCTTGAGGAGAGGAGCAGCAGTGCAAGGAAAATTCTAGAACTTACTGGTTCCAGCTCTGCAACGGTTCTGCCAGACACAAGCTTCTTTCTGCTGGGCAAAGTCAGGTGTAGCAGGACCACAGCACACTAAATCCTCACACGGGATTAGCCACCAGTTACTGTACTAAGGAACTCCAAGCTACATTGTGCAGTTTCTGGTACAAAAACCCTAACACATATAATCAAGACCAGCTGTAAATAGGCTGCTTATGCCAGAATAAAGTAACACTGAGAAACACTGAAGCTATTTTCCCCCTCTTTTTTTTTTTTCTTGCAATAAATTGCAAAGAAAGAAAATACATTTAGTACATCACCTTCGTGGGGCTTCCCTTTTCTAAGCAGCAAGGACTTTTTTCTGCTCCTTTCTGTACTGTTCTCCCTGGACGATGTTTTTTTCCAAGACAGGCAATGGAAAAATTAGTCATATGTTTCACTCTTCCTGTTCTGCCAGCATTGTTTATGAAGAACTGAGGAGTAAGAGCAATACAGATGATGAAGGCACAAAGCAAGGTGCAGATAAGGCTGCAGGGTGAAATGTAATAGGAAACATAGCAAAAGGAAAGTCAAAGGAAGAGATTAATCTGTCTGTGACAGCACTTATGAGTCCAAAAGTAAAATATCATGTCTTGAAAATAAGCATAAACCTTGCTTAGGAGCTACATCAGGTCAAGTTTTACAAATAGCTAACAAAAAAGATCTAAGAAGGATGATATCCCATAGGATGAAGAAAAATAATGAAATTAAAACAGGTAAGAGGGAAACATTAAAAGAGGAATGATAGAAGTGATAGAAGCAACAGGATGATATTTTAAAAAAGTAAAAAAAAAAACCAATGTAATATTTCATTTTAGTGGCTCCCAACTCTGTAGAAACAGAAGCACATTCTATCAGGATCTCACACTCAGTGATAGAGAGGTGAGAAGGGAAGTTTCCCACCAGGAACCAAGGCCGTGGGAGCAGCACAATAAAGCTGTCCTGCTGTAACAGCTCCCCACCCCTTTGAGATGTGTGCGTGTAAAACACCTCTTCCTTCCGACCTCTCCAAATCCCGTGGTACCGCCTACTCCTCTAGTGCTCTCAGGCTGGACAGATCAAGCCACCCATCCCAAATCACAACCAAGGAAAGCCTGGACTTGCTTCCCTTCTTTGCCTTTTTAAAAGCACYGCTGTGGTTTGCGTGCCCTTCAGACAATCCCCGCCACTTTGCTGTGTGCTGCCATGTGCTGATAAGAGCAAACAGCCCCCGGAGGGCAGATCATGTTGCTTTTARAAGTAAACCTCTGCCCCTAGCTCAAGATCTTATTTCTTTTCCCCAACACCAAACCAGCCTGAAGTCTTTACTTTTATTCATTTATGCCATAAAGGAATATGTGGGGGGTTTAGGACTTTATAATGCTTACTACTTATCTACTGTTTTACGCACCTTCACATGTGATTTCTACCTTTTAAGAGCATATTTTACCCACTGCATCATGTTTGCGCTCATAAATATAAGCTGGCAGTCAAGGACATGTTGCTGGCGTAAGCAGCAGCGCTTTAGWTTTTAAAGCATTTTTTAAAAGTGCTTTAGGACACTCAAACATTACGTTTCCTGTGAAAGTTTTATCCCCATCCTCTGTTTCACTAGACAGCAACATTCCATGTAGCACTAACATCTGGATACAGCACATATTTTAAGCATTAGACCATAAGATCATAAGATCATCTCTTTGCTGTGGAGTTTCTTCTCTTGCTCAGTAGCTTGCCCGTTTTGATTAATGGTTGAGCTTTCCATATTTCACTACTTAACAGAGCTGAAAGATGTGAGTTACTTCACGTTCTCAATAAAGATTTAAACATAAACCAAATTAGGCGAAGAGATTTGCCCATGCGTTTCAGAAAGTCTATTATTCCTAACAGYAACTTCATATGAAGACATTTGTTCATTTCATTTGAACTAAGCTCTTCTGGTCTAAAAATTTACCTAAAAATGACAGGTCCAATTTTTAAATCCAGCGTGCTCTGTTTACTCATCACTAGCCATGCAATGTATGGCAGAACCGGGCACACATGTAGCTTGTTTGCCCTTTGCCTTCGCCCATTACATCCTCAGTTACGGAACAGGTTATTCTCTTTGTCAAACTCTCCAATAATGAAACCATTCTGCACTCTCAATCATCCATCCTCAAGAGATTAAATCTCTCCCACACCACAGGATTGACTCAAAAGATACAAAGCTCGCTGTGTTTTAGTAATACAGGCAAATTTAAACACAAAGGACTGGATCAGTTGTGTAAGAAAGTACTTTGAGACAACTAGTCTTCAGACAGGAACTCTATTTTCAGGGAAAAATCTCTGGCAGGATAGTCTTAACCAACACCTGCATATGCACAGCTCCTTCAAACCCACTCTCCTAACCTCCATTGCCCAGAGGAAATCCACCATTCCTTTACAAACAAGAGCAGCCCAATACAACTCACACAGCTGCTCAGTTAAATGATTATTTCTAAAGACCATGACTTTGCACAAGGACCACAGTGGGATGTCA